AAAGTTTTATTTATAAATTTAATTTTCATTTTTAATCATTTCATTATATCACCTCTTTTCAAATTAAAAACAAACAAAAGGCATTCCTAAAAAGGAAAAAAATCATTACAACTACAGTCAGGACAAGCATCTCAGACGGCAGGCAGGAAAGTCAGGGGCTGTCCTGATAAGAACACCCGCCCTTCATGAAGTGTAGCCATTCCTACAGAGCAACAGGAAGAGTGTGGAACTTAACAATAGGTTTGGTAGAAGAAACAAATAAATCCTGGTGCAAGGTAAGCCACCATAATATAATATAGTGATTACACCCATCTGTATATACAATTATATATACCCTCTGCTTAAAAACACTATTGCTACTTATAACCTTGAGTCAGAATTGCTCAGCAGGTTGATTCTATCGTGACCTCAAACCATCTATCTGGCCTTACATCCATTACCATAATTTCGTTTACCTAGACAATTCACTTTTCTTCAAACTTCTCTGACACTCCATGTTTTTTACTCTGACACATTTTCTTCCTCTCATTTGGGATAGATTTCTCTGAAAATTAACCCAAGCTTTCTCCAAAACTGTCCTGAATTACCCAACAGGATATTCTCAAATGATACAATACCCAAAGAGCTGTCTAGATTATGGGCTGGTAAATACAAACATGTAACTTTTTGAACCCTAATAGAAGGTTATTTGCATCTTTCTATGGTACTTGTTATATTTTACCTTTATTATAATAATTAGTATAATTTTCCTATTTAAGATTATAAACTTTCAGAAGACAAATATTTTAAGAGGTTTTCAAATATGGAGTAGCTATTGAAAAATATTTTTATTTCACTTTGAATAAACAGTTGTTTTTTTCTGACCTACCTTTAAACTAATAATGTATTTTTGTCCCCAGCATTTGGAGAAGTTGGGAAGTAATACATTTAATTGTGACCATATGTGGGTCTGTAGTACAGTTCTGTGGCTATTGCCCATAAGAATGCAGCTTCTGGGAAAGCATTTTGATTTCTGCTTTGTGAGGCCCTCTTTTCAGCTAAGTGTTCCTGAGCAACAGGTGCAGGTGCTGTCAGTATAAGTGACCTAGGCTGGTCACCAGGGGTGTTTGAGTCCAGATCCATTGGTCTGCTCTGATTATGTGACTCAACTTCATCCAACCAGATCTAAATCTGAGGGTCTGTGGTGATGGGAAAAGGAATTCTTTTGATACATTTTACTGAAAGGATCTGGCATAAACCTAAAATCTTCTTGTTAACTCAGTGGGAGGTTCTGACAAAACAATTTACAGCACAGTGAAGAGCAAAAGAACAACAACAACAAAAATTTGAAGCCTAATCCTGATAATCCTGGGTGAGCCATTCCTGAGTTTGTCATCCTTGGATTTCTCAAAAATAAGAAATGTTGTTATTATCTAGGCCAGTTTTAATTCATTTTCTATTATCTGAAAATGAAAAGCTTTAGCTTACTGTAAGCTGAAATTTAGAACACTTACAAATGCATTCCCAAGCCTAGTCATATATCACTAATTTTTAAGTTATAGAAATATGCTTTGGGTATCTAAAAAGTTAAATTCAGAGTATTACATGACTTTAAAAATAGAACTATAAAATAATTGATAATGTTAAATATTTTCAACGTGTAAATATCCAAAAATTTAAACATTAAAAATAATATCAAAAATTCAAATATCTAAATTCAAAGTGTAGTGCAATTATTTTTCACCTGCTATATGAAAGTTTATATTTCTTCAGGAATATGTTAGAGAAATGTAAACATCTTTGTTGAGTCCTTCGTGGAGACACTCTCAACTCTCTTTAAATACTACAGGCAGATCCAATGGTGATAAAACACTCTACCAGCTGGGTGAGGTGGTACACACCTGTAATCCCAGTGTCTTGGGAGCTGAGGTAGGAGAATCACAAGTTCAAAGCCAGCCTCAGCAAAAGCGAGGCACTAAGAAACTCAGTGAGACCCTGTCTCTAAATAAAATACTAAATAGGGCTGGGGATGTGGCTCAGTGGTTGAGTATTCCTAAGTTCAATCCCTGTACACACATACACACAAAAAAAAATACTCTATCACAAAATATCTCTCCTCCACTATTTGCCATGGCATCTGAGTCTTCTCTTGAAACTAAAATGCGGGTGGACAGGGAGGAGGCTGGGGTTGTGGCTCAGCGGTAGAGTGCTTGCCTGGCACATGCAGGGCCATGGGTTCGATCCTCAGCACTACATATAAATCAATAATATAAAGGTATTGCATCCAACTACAACTAAAAAATAAATATTAAAAAAAAGAAACTAAAATGCTGGAGTTTAATCCATAATTTGTGTCCTGTCTGCTAAGGGAAACTGTTGAAATTCTACTGGGAGCATAAGGCAAGGCCTGGCAAGGATGCCAAGGCTCTACAGCCTTCTGTGAGAGTGGGTTGTTTGTATCAAATTTCCTAAATGCTGGAAGATGGGACAAGCACATTTTAAAGGCAATGGGAGTGGAATAGAAGGAGCAAACTGGGTGTACACTTCAAAGTACCAAAGTTGTGGCCCTCTAAACCAGGGACAGTGCAGGCAGTTCTACATAGAGCACTGAAGACAGGCACAAGCACAAATATCACAGACAGGCTTTCTCCTTTCTGAGTCTTGCTGAATGCTAGCAAAAGCTTGATATTCTTTTAACAAATCAGCTTTAAAATGACTTTCCAATTGAAATTGTTCTCTATTGTTTTATTTCCCCAAAACTTGATTCCTATTTACCCATCTAAAAGTATTATGATCTAATAATCTACAATAACTCATTTATGTTGACAGTCTTAACCCATTTTGTCTCATCAGTCCAGATATGGCACACCAATGACTTAAATATAGTACATAATATAAAATATAAGTGTATAATATAAATTATTATATATACTATAATATAATATGTAATATAATTATTATATATAAATATTATTATATAAAAATACAACTGTACTATAATGTAATATTAATTAATATTAAATTATAGGATATTGATAATCAATATGCTAATATTAATGTTATTGTGTTACTTAATATTAATTTAATAATATACAAGTTCTAGATTATGACTTTCAAACCATTTCAATAAGCCTATGTCACTGAAATATTAATAGAATTACAAACTTGGGACTTATTGGGTTAAGATTACATCTGAACACTCAGGCGATTATTTACCACTTGTATTTAAAACAATTCAGAAAATATCATAGTTTACCTGTTATCCCAATCATCGCTTTCTACAATCCATTCCAAGCAATTTAATTTATACCTAATTTTATGCCCTATTTTATATATATATAAAATATTTTTTAATTTTATAATTTCTTTAGGAAATACTTATTTTTACAAAGAATTTGGTTCTTAAAAGTATTAACAGTTTTAAGAACTTTGTGGACTTTTTGTTCATGTCAGATGATTATCAAGATATTCATTCTTATAATGTGTAAGTACCACATGTGTTTATTCATGTGATGTTCCTCATAATACGATGAAATAAAGTAATAACATATCAACCAAAATTATCTGAATTATACAGCTTCTATAGATGCAGAGGTTCAGAACTGCAATATTGAAGACAGATTCAAATAGTGCTTTCCATTGTGAGGAAATGCAACAAATTGAAATTCTAATCAGAATATCAAAGCAAATACATATTACCAGGGTTTCTAATACTCTAGCAATAAAAATCAGTGTTGGACACTATGTCCTAATCTCTATTTTTCCATAAGCATTTGAATAGTCAACAAGTAGCTATCTTCAGTATTGACAATTGAAGAGTTCTTAAAATGGAGTGTGTTAGTATGCCTAATAATTTCCTACTAAATTGACCATGTCAAAAAACATTTATATGTGTCTTTCAATAGAAGACAATAAAAAAAAGAAACTGTTGTGACTTATCAGTCCTATAACCATTTTTTTAATAATACAAAAATATCAGTGTTGTGGGGCCATCATTTCTTCCATCTAACAGCACAATAAAAATAATATTAGGGAGGAGTGGATTATATCTTGGGCTTTTATTAAAATTCTTTTCAAAATCTTATATTCAAATTCATTTCAGGCATTTTCCTTTTAAATTGGCAATATTTAGATGTTTCTGCACATAGAGCACATAAAATATTTCATAAAAGCAAATACTCAATAAAAATAAAATTTTTTGCTATTTTATGATTAACAAACCCTCTAAATTTCTAAGGTTCATTATTTCTTAATATCTCAAATAAGGGAAATTATATAATTACTTTTAAAAACAAAAGTACATCTCTAGTTTGCCTCTCTTCCCAGAAGTAAGCTCTTCAGTGAAATTGGCTGTGACGTCTCTTTCAAACACAAAGTTTTGTTTATGAATTAGAAAATTGCCCTACATTTACCATAGGTCATAAATAAAATTTAGGGAAAAAATCAATCATCATGAGATATAATATTTTTTGTATTCTAAAACTTGCTTTTCAATGGTGATTTAATATGGTCCATATTTAAGAACCTTTTTAAAAGGGCTTTTAGTGCTGCCTTTAATACAATGTTTTAAGGAAGGCCGGTAACTTTCACACTGAAATTTAAGATGTTGTTTATTGTTGTTATGAAATGCCTTTTTCTCTCTCATATGTGGATCTTAAATAATACAAACTTTTATAAAACAGTCAAAAGATACATAATCCCACAGTTTTTTCCTAGTAGTTATTTTTAAAAGCACCTTCCAACTAAACTATACTGTACTATGTATTTAATATTTTAGTCTAAAGTCTCAGTGAATGATCATAGTATAATATTTTTGGTAAAGAACTTTAGAATTTGATAGCTACAAATATGAAAAGAACATACTTTTCTACACCAAAGGAAACAGGCGGATGTTTTAATAACAGGTAAAAGCATAACATTTTGTAAAACTGTTTATATGTTCACACCAAGATACAGGAGACTCTGTCACACATTTTTCAAGCTTAAATTCCATGAATAATATAAATTTAAAACTTACTTACCTTTTTTCAGTGGTGACTTGTTATTGAAACTGCCATCAACTCCTAACAGTTAATGACTGAACAAAAACGGAAAACAGTAAAGTCACATGTCTTAAGAGTAGGCCTATGTTGGCTGCTGCTTAATTTCAGTACTGCAAAAAAAAAAAAAAAAAAAAAGGGCGGGGGTTAGGGGTGAGCACAAAACTTAAATAAAACCACTTCCTGGGTTGATCTGGTTAGCACACACATCACATCATTACTTGATTTGAAGAAATTGCCTTGTATAGTCAACAATATCATTATTTTTCAATGCAATTGTTGACTTCAAGACATTCCACATTTATGTATGTTTCATCGAGTTTCAGTTAATGGGGGAAATGTGTGATTAAAAGGTTAACAGTGGGGAGAAACAGGTTGCTAAACGCTGAGGAAACTTCCCCTTTCTCTGCCTTCTAGCAAGGGCTTCAAAAGGGTGTCTCTGCTGTGCTCGGTGAGCTTAGCCTGTTCCAATGCTATCCAGAGGTGTTGTATATTGACTTGGGAAACCAAGAAGTCACTTCTGATTCACCCAGCTGGTGCTTTTGTCTCACTCATGGATGAACCCACCAAGAGCCCTTCCAGTCACCAAGCTCATGGGGCCTTGGGCAGGTTGCATTAGAACTTCTGAGAAAGGGCCCAGAGCCATGCACCACTCTGAGCATCTGTAAAGGGAAGAAAGGTGCTCAAGAGGCACATGCTGTGGCATATGCTGACTGTGGTTCTCACACTACTGTGTTCTCCCTGGCAGTTTCTTAAGCAGTTCTGAAAAGTGTGAAGAATTTTTGATCTAGATGAATAATTCTTTGTGTGGTCTGACTTAAAAATAAAAATAAAACAAAGGTTCTAAAGGCTATCATTTTGGTAAACTGCTATGTGCCCTCCTATGTCAAACTTCAACCAATCTAAGACATGAGAAATAGCGATAGGACATGCATCTTTACTGAGCCATGGAGTTCAAGAAACAAGCTCCTGGATTTCCAAGCTTGGTTGGTTTTGTGAGATTTGCAGGATATTCGCAAAAGGAAATTTTTCTTCTAAATAGAAAAAAAAAAAAGATATATTCCATTCTCTTGTTATACAAACGAATTAAGACTAAAAAGTGATATAATAGAACACAGTGGTATGGAATGTTTGGCACATAAAAAGATAAGCTTTGAAAATATAGTTGATATATATATAACCCAAGTTAAGGATGACATTCCCTGATAGTTTATCTAATTTCTCTAGGGATTTATTTTTTTTTGTACTAGAGATTGAACCCAGGGATGCTTAACCACTGAGCTACATCCCCAGGCCTTTTATTTTATTTTTTTATTATTATTTTTTTAAGTTTTTTTGAGACATAGTCTTGCTGTTGCTGAGAGCTTCACTAAATTGCTGAGGCTGGCCTCAAACTTGCTATCCTCCTGCATTAGCCTCCTGAGTCACTGGGATTAGAGGCATGGGCCTCCACACTCAGCTAGGACCCACTTTTTTTTTTTAACTATTAATTGCTATTTGTCTCCTAACATCTAGGACTATTCTTTTTAAAATCATTCAGATTGACTATTGAATTTACAATCAATCATTATTTACAGTATATTTACAGTCCAAAAACTTTTTACTGAATGTTCCTTAACACTGAGAAAATGGAAAGACCTTGATAGTAAAAGTGAGATCTGAATTCAAGACTCAATTCTGACTCTGTTGAAACTTGGTCAGGTCATTTAAGTTTTCCAAAATTCAGTTTGTTTATCCATATAACGGCACATAGAGATGGAAAAAAAAAAAAAAAGGCCCTCCATTCCAGGGCCTTTTTTAAAATAAATAGATTTAAACATTTTGTACATCACTAATAATTATAGACAGTTGTATTAGCATGAGCTGGAAAGTGCAGATAGATGCCCTCTAAAGAACATCAGAAAAATTTAGTATGTCCTAATGGATTTAAACCTTTGTAAATTACAGTCAGACTCACAAGAGATATAAATTAGGCCTTTTTCCTAAACAGGTGCCAATATCAGATACAAAATGTAGAAAAAGTATACTTTGTCCACAGTGTGGGAGGTGAGCCACTTAGGCAATGATGTACTTGGGTTTGATTTCCAGAAGACAAGATACTCTCTATGATGCAGGCTCTGGGTTAGTGCTTTGACACCTGTGGCTATGTATGTTCACTCTTTACAGTTGTCAGTGTTTATTGAATATTTGCTGTAAGCCAAGCATTGTACTAAGGACTTTATGTTTTTTCTGCCCTTTAATCTTCACAACATCTTTGTGAACTACTCAATATTATTATGCTCTTTTACACATGAGGAAACTGAGGTTAGTTTATTGCCCAAATTAGTAAAGAGCAGAGTGAGGAATCAAACCCAAAGGCTCTGACCTCAGAGCCCTATTGTAAATTATTGTGCTGTTCCTAACCACTTGTTCTCCAGCAAAACTCTAAGTAATAATAGTGAGAAAAGTTTCACTTCTGGTATTCCTTTTTGCCTCTTCCCTGACAAGAGTGCTAGACTTAACAGGTACAAGTGATTCCTGAAAGTTATACAAAATCATGTTCTCAAAAGTTTTCTCAATTATAAGTCTATATCAAAGAAATTAAAAGAAACTCAGTATAAACAGAAATATGCTATCTTCATAGATATAAAACAATGGGTATATATCGATTTGCCCCAATTATCTATAAAAAAGTCCAATAAAATCCCAGTTTTAATTCCAACTAGATATTTTTGAAGAATGAACAAGCTCATTCCAGAATTTCAATATAATAGCTAAGAATACTTGAGTTCTTTTTGAAGGAAAAAAGAGCAAAGACTGTTGACTTTCCCTATTAGATATATATTCCAAAACCACAGTATTAAAAAAAAATTAATGTGAGCTCAGGAGCATCTCAGAAAAAAGATATTTATTTGATAACTTAATACATGATAAAGAAGGCATCAAAGATGAATAAAAAAGAACAGATTGCTTTACGATATAGTGTTGGCAAGCCAAACTCATTAAACATAGGAAAATATACTTGGATCTCAACATTAGACCACTTGCAAAGATGGACCTAATGTGAGTTAAAACCTAAAGTTTTGAAGGTAAAACTTTGATGCTGGCTGATATAATAAAATTTTAAAAAATTGCAAAATGGAACTTTCATAAACAGTATTCTTTAAGCAAAAATATAAAGATTTGAGTACCCAGTAATTAAATAATTTTAAGTGAACAACATCGTACACAAAGATTACAGAAAAATAAGAAGCTGGAAGTTAATACCTATATTTGCAAAAGATTAATTAAAAACAGAGGTAGGCTAATTGGGAAAAATGCAAATGAATTGAATAAATAATTCACAAAAAGGAAAATGCTCTAACATCCAACCAGTATATTACGAGATGCACAAACTACAGTAATCATAGTAAAACAAGTTAAATCAGATCCTTTTGTACTGGTTAAAAAGTCTGGATGAGAATGTATGGCAAGAAAACCCTCTTATTCCCTGCTTGTGGGATTGGAAACTGGCAAAACTTAGCAAAATAAAATGCAGGCAAGCAGTATGTTCCAGATATATGGACAGATACATGGTCCAGAGAATTTCCTCAAACTGAGTTGTTTTCCCTACTTGATCACAAGAAGTAAACTTTCTGGTTGTTGTGGCTCAAGAATTTTCTTACATTGTGTATGTTTTTGTGTATTATTAGGGTGAAAAACTGAAGTTTATGGGCCCTCTAGATAGATGATATGATTTAGACACTCAAGAAGAGTAGAAAAGGGAAGAAAGATTGGCTTCCCTGAGAAAGATGTAGGTTCCCTGTGACAAAGATGAAAGAGAGAAATGGGTTTTCCTCATTGGAGAAGGGCTGTGCTCTAGTCCCAAGTGGATGCCCAGCATTAGCAAAAGCTTTAATCTGAAGGCAAAAATTTGTTTATTGGACACTTACTGTATGCTAGGAAATTAGTATGTTTTAGATATACTGTTGTTATGGATTGAATGTTTGCATTCCCCTAAATTTCTTATGTTGAAATCCTACTCTCCAGGGTGATGGTAAGAGGAAAAGGGGAATTTGGATATGAACAGGCCATTTAGGTAGAGGCTCATGAGTTGGATTACTGCCATTATTAAAGAGATCCCAGAGAACTAGCCCACCCCTTCTACTATGTGCACCTGCATCCATAAGGCATCCATGAGAAAGAAGACCCCCATCCAACATAGAATCTGCTGATACTAAAATCTTGGACTTCCCTGAGCTTTGAGGAAAAATTTCTGCTCTTTTCAGTTCATGCTACTTTTTATATTATCCCAAAGAGTCTTAAAAACTATACATTGCTGAATATGGTGGTACACATTTGTAATTCCAGCAACCAGGGAGACTGAGACAGGAAGATCACAAGTGTGAGGCCAACCTGGGCAACTTAGTGAGACTCTGTCTCAAAATATAAAATGGGCTTCGATGTAGCACAGTAGTAGAGCACCCCTGGGTTCAATCCCCAGTACAAGGGTTATGGGAAAAAAACCTATATATTATATATTTGTTAAAAAGGAGAGAGATAATTGGAGTATCTATGAGATAGTAATCATTACCAAAATGAATGCAGAGAAATGGAACATGCAAGCTGAGGAAGTATAAAATTATAAACTTGTTTGTCATGTGAATCTAGCAGTGGGGGACACATCTCCAGGCAGAGGGAATACCAAGCACAAAAGCTGTGAATGAGTACTGGCATGATTGTATAACTACAGGGAGTTCAGTGTGACTCCAGTGGAGTGATCAAGAATTGAGCACGGGGGACAATGTCAGAGAAATAGTAGATGACTAGGCCATGTGGGTCCCTTTGTCTTTATTAAAAATATGGTGATAATGGAAAATATGAAGGTGATCTGACTCATGGTTTTACAAGATGACTCTGTTTTATAAAGAATTGACCAAAAAGTGGCATGAGTAGATTCAGGTGATTATTTGGCCAACTATTGCAATCATTTGCAGCATAAATTAATGGAACTTAGACCGAAGTGGCAGCAGCAGAAAGAGTGGAAAAATGGTCAAATTTTGGATGCATTTTGAAAGGAGACTTAATGAAATTTCTCTGAATTAGCCAAGGACAAATCATGAGACAGAAATGATTTTAGAGAAGCAGATGATGTGTTTGGGGGCTAATTA